AAGAGAGATATAGTGCATTTGATTTATTAGGCCTAAGGATGTACCAAATCCAATTCTTAGAATTGGTGGGAATTGGTCTTGAAAAATTGGAACCGAATTATTAATTTGATGTGAATATATACAAAATTAGTAATTCTACAACATCCAATGCCGATCAATTTCAAATGAAGAATTGGAATGGATGCATCTTTAGATATTAGTATCCATTGAACTTGTTCTTTATGTGAACTAATCGCCGATCTACCAAAAAAACGACCTTACTCTTGAAACTTTACGTAAAGACATAAGTCTTCACTTCGATTACTTCGTATTGCTATCAAATACTTATTTGAAATATATTCAAAACTTTCCTCGAATACGCTTGGATTATAATGTGCATAGTCTTGAAACAATAATATGTGATCATTGTACAAATTTTGATTACTCTTATGAAACTTATTAGGTAAAATACCATACGAAACAATTCTTTTCGATCAAGTTAAAAATGTACTTGATTCTATACCTAATAAATTACTTGTGAATGCATCATGAATTCTAAATGGCTTTATTTTTCTTTAGAAAATAGATACATACAATAGTTCCACATATTTTAATCACTTTATTTATATCAAAACTTTACTCTAATAATAATGATATCTAATCGAAAAGAAATACATTTGAAAAGTCAATCTGACCAATCGAGTTCTATTCCAAGTTCTTCTGAAAGTCGTTCAATGTTCGATTCCATCTTCCATCGATCATCATGCCATGGAGACAGACATTTCTTGTAGATACCTAATGCTTGTTGATAGTAATCAAGTGCCAACATAGGTTTATGAAGGTCTTCATAAATCTCACCTATGTTCGATAAACTATGACCAATGTCTTCATGATTTGGTGATAGAGTTTTGAGAAGTATTAACAAAGAATTCTGTTCATATGTAAGAGAGAGTTCATGCTGGCCTTTTGTTCTTTGTACTTTTGACAAACAATTAAGTAGGGTAGCAACGAAGTGATCTTCTGAAGGAAGACTGGCTTCTTCAATTAATAAACATCTTTCCAAATATTCAATAGCTAGATCGAACTGGGAATTTCTATTGAAATTAGCAGCAATCCAATATAGGCAATCAGCAATTTCAATATGATCATTGGGATAATATTCTTTGAATATGATTAATGCTTGTTGATAAAAGTCGAGAGATTCATGATATTTTGTTTGCTTAAAAAGAGTACTACCGATACTCTTGAGATTGCTAGCAATTCTGAATTGATCACTAGGCAAGTTACTTTTGAGAACAGTCAATGCTTGTTGTTGAAAGTCGAGAGCCTTATCATATTTTCTTTGTCTTTTGAAAACTTTAGCTATGTTGTTCAGACAAGCAACGGTATTCCAATGATTGGAAGCATGTTTCTTGTAAAATGTCACTGCTCGATAATAAAAATCAAGAGCTTCATCATATTTGTTTTGATTAGTCAATATATTACCAATATAAGCCAAACAAGTAGCAAGGCATGGATGCTCGGATGGATAACATTGCTCATAGATTGCCATTGCTCGTTGACAGAAATCAAGAGCTTCATCATATTTTTTTTGATCAATCAATATGTTACCAATATTGGTCAAACAACTAGCAAGGGTTGAATGACTAGATGGATGATATTGCTGATAGATTGTCATTGCTCGTTGCTGGAAATCGAGAGCTTCATCATACTTTCCTTGTAGATTTAGGGTAATACCCATATATTGCAGATTCTCAGCAATATCAATATGACCAGATGGATAACAGTTTTCGAGGATTGTTAGAGCTCGTTGATAACAATTGAGAGCTAGATTATATTTTCTTTGAGCAATGCGAATGTCACCGATGCGATTCAGACTATCTGCAATTTTCTCATGATAAGAGGAGTAAGTTTCTTCTCTAATTGCTAATGCTCTCTCATGAAAATTGACAGCTTCTTCGTATTTTTCTTGTTTGCTCAGGACATCAGCAATATTGATAAGACCATTAGCAATATCAACAGGATTCGATGGACAGCATTTTTCGTAGATTCTCAGCACTCTTTGATAGAATTCAACAGCTTCATCATATTTTCTTTGTTTACTCAGAATAGTAGCGATGTTGCTCAAACTATTAGCAATGCTTACATGATCAGAAGGACAATATTGTTCTTGTATCATCAATGCTCGTTGTTGAAACTCGATAGCTTCATTGTACTTTTCTTGATCTTTTAGAACATTGACAATATTTATCAGGCTATCAACGATGTCAATATGATTAGTTGCATTATAGTTCTGTTGGACTGTTAATGCTTGGTGACTGAAGTCAAGAGCTTCATCATACTTTCCTTGTTCCTTTGGTATATATCCAATGTTATTTAGAATACAAATAACGTTGTCATGACTTGAAACACAATATTTCTGAAGAATTTCTAGAACTTGTTCATAGCATGATAGAGATTCATTATATTTTCCTTGAGCATAGTGAACATGTCCTATTCCATTGAGACTAAAGGCAATATCGCGATGACCAGATGGATAATACTTTTGTTGCATTGCTAATGCTCGTTCGTACATCTTCAGAGCTTCATCATAATTGCCTTCGAGATAGAAAATGTAACCGATGTGATCGAGGGCGGAAGCGATGTATACATGACCATTTGGATAATATCTTGTATAGATTGATATTGCTCGTCGACAGAAATCTAGAGCCTGTTCGTAATTTTCTTGATATGTAAGAACTTGGGCAATGTAGTCAAGATTAACAGCGATATCAATATGAGAAGATTGATAATATTCTTCGAGCATTGTCAGTGCTTGTTGATGAAAGATAAGTGCTTCATCATATTTTGCTTGCCGAACAAGGATTTTGCCGAAGCTATTAAGATTTGTAGCAATAGGTACATAGTCATCCAGGTGGATGTCGCTCAGTTGTAGGCAGCCATTTTTCTGTAAGTTTCGACACATTTCTTGTAACTGAATTTTGCTCGACTGTATATCAACAGGTTCTATTCTATTTGTTGTATAATTCGAACGAAACCAACGAGAAATTCCGAGGAATTTTCTAGTTAAAAACCATCGAGTATACGATTGAAAGAATTCAACTAACTTTGATAAAACTGACCAAAATGACTCGCGAACACGGCTCAGTCCGCTGCTGTGTTGGTGATTCACTGAACAGGACCTATCGACTTTGGTAGAGGAGGAATTTTTCGTTCGTATTGCAAATGCTCGTTCATAATAATCACAAGCTTCGTACTTTCCTTCTAGATAAAGAATCTCACCAATATTGAACAGTATATCAGCTGAATCCTTGAGTCGTATTGGTTTTATATTCATCATCCGTTCATAAGCAAGATCATAATATCTTCGTGCTTCACTCCATTCTCCTTTCCATTGAAGAACTTCACCAAGACTATATTCAATCTTTCCAATATCTTCATTGTTACTATTCGAATTGTTTAATAAATGTTCAAAGAATTGTTGTGATTGATTCCATTGACCCATATCACACATCAATCGTCCAAAGAGAATTCTCATACTTAAACCTTCCATTTGACGATGTGAGTCTTTTATATATTTTTCTTTGATAATTTCACCTTGATTTGATGCAATCATTTCAATAAACCACATATCTTCTTCCATTCTCATACTTTTCAATCGAAAAGTGACATTTGAATCGAAGAAAATTTCTTGTTGTTCTTCACTTGAAAATTCACTAAAATCAACACTATCAATAGCAATGATATTGTTGTTGAGCTGCTTTAGATCGCATTGAATTTCTAGGAGAACAGAAATGAGATGAGTTTGTTTTGAAGGTTTCATTGCTTGATTAAATGCAGTTGAACGATGAATATTTGTTCTGAAAAATCCATTGATTGAAACAAGTTTACCTTCATTCTCTTTGAATTTCTCCATTTGATCATTTGTTAATTTCATTCCTCGATAGATTAATAATATTTCTTTACCAGATTGAATCATTTTTTGATGTTCTCGAATGAAAGTTTCTCTCAAATCTTTCATAAAATATCGAAATATATAGAGTTGATTGAAATCTTTGATTTTCAATGCTTTTTTGATGATTTTGTAAAGAAATGATTTTTTCAAATACCATCGAAGAGCTTCTTTTGATTGATATTCATTTTCAAACTTTCTAATCATTTCTAATTCTTTAATATTGTCTTTATAATAAGAACGACATGCATCAATCATTTCTTGTTTAGCTTCTTCATTATGTGTTAATTCAAAGAGAACATCATGATAAAATTGAAACCAAAGAAGATCAGCAGTTTGTTTTGATAGATCTTTTGTTAAGTATTCATCTTCATCGAAGAAACTGAATGTTTCTAAATGTTGATCGAGAAAATCGATTTGTTCTTGGATTGATAAACTCAATAAATCGAATTCATCATAGATACCAATAAGTTTTGAATGTTCAACAAGTAAATGTTCATGATCTAATTTTTCCCAATTGAAAACAAATATACTATCAATTTGAGGTAGTATTGCAATATGAGGCAATATTTGTGATGCATCATAAATTGAAGAGATGAACAAAATTTTTTCATTTTGAATCGATTGAATGAAAGTAATGCAAGATTCGAGTTGAGTATGGAATACAACATAATCATTAATTTGACGTAGTTGTTTCATTGTTTGTTCTAGATGATTATTGGAATCCATCTTTGAGTTGAACCAAATCAGAGTGATATCCTCTTTGTTATTAGTTCTGTTCATTGTTTCTAATGAATTATCCAAGATAATGGAATGTGTAGTAATGAATGTTAAAAGTGTTAAAGTAGTTGTTCAATTGAAATGTCAAAAAGATACTTGAATAAGAAAACAATTGACTTTAAATCTGGAAATAATGAAAAAAACTAGAAATTTTCAAAAGACATAAGATGTGTAAGTGTCCAGATCACTCATTGTACCATCAGCATCAGTGGATTCCATTAATTTCCAAAGGATTTTTGGATTCGAAATATTGCATCATATTGCTAACTAAGTAGTTCTTCTCAAAAAAAAAATTGATAAAAGCAACGAATCTGTCAGAAGAATAATCTGTAGAATCTGGTTACAAGGAACCAATTATCCGCGACCTTTCAAAAAAGAGCTGGATGATAGTTCATTTTGCGATACATGTCTCAAGGAAAAGAAACTAGTCTCAATCATTCTCTTAAATATTTCATCAGCATGATAAAATCACATATTAGAAAAGTTTATACATAGTTTGAGAGCACTAGAATAATAGTTAATCTATTTTCTAAAAACCTAATTCTATAATATCTAAGAAAACAATACGAAACATTTTTATTCAAGGATATGTATTTGACAAACAAATATTAAGAAAGACATGTCTGGAAGTATGATAATCAGAGAATCAAGTATTTAGGACAATTATTTCTAGCATTTCTGCAACACTTCGTATTTCTCTATAAATACTAGAGGGTTACTAAAATCAATCTCATTCTTGAAAATAACACTAGATAACGCTTGCCTATGAAGTCGAAATGTATAGGATTTGAATCGCAAAAAAAAAACATTGATTCTTGCTCATGTGACAATGAGTAAGCAAAGAAGAAAGAAATAATTCTTGTCATCTCTTTATGTGACTCTACTTACCACTTAGAATGGGACTAGTAGAATAAATGATGATGTCTAAATATGTGCGCTAATAAGCTATATGACACATACATCATTGAAAGGAAGTGATTGTTTTTTTCCCACTCCAATGTGTTTATGTGTACAAGGTAAGTGTTTTTTCTCTCACAACGTAAATAAACTACGTATTAGGTATACATCACGCCCTTGATTTTATTCTGTTTCTTTACAATATCAACCCTCTCTCCCTCTCTTATTCATTTTCTACCTTTATGTGCATCGTAATTTCCTTTAAACGCATGACGATGTATCTTCGCAAGCCAGTAATTTCTTCCGAATGTAAAAAACAAACAAGTTGAGAGGTTTCAAGTTTTAGTTGATCAGATGGAAAATTACTAGAACTAGTACTGATTCGTTGGAAAGATGTTGATTGTTATTCGTTTTAGTCATTAACTTCGTTATTGAAGAACATAAAAATTTTATGTGTGCACAGAATTTTTTCGACTGAAGTATCATAAAATGCAAAAGTTGTCCTAATTATAGATTGATCTATGAATTAAATCGTATAATTTGAATGAAACTGAAGAGTGAACAATAATTCATGTCTAATCCATGCTACGATCGAATATTCGAGTCTATGATGAAAACAAAGTTCAGAAGAGCATATGGGAGTAACTTCATTGAGATTCACTACTTAAACATCTTGCTGAATAATCTAGAAAATCTAAAAAAATGAATACATGTCTTGCTCATCCTTGAATGTGTACATATTATTTTTGGCCATAGTGACCATTAGTAAGTCGACTCTTTCCCTGGTGTTATTAGCTTGTTCGCTTCAAGTAAATGAATTCAAAGATTTTTTACCAGTGCAATTATTTGTAGCATTACTTCTCTTATATTTTTATATGAATCATCGGTTTGTCAAACATATAAATTTATTTTTTAATTATAAGAAAAATTTCTTTGTAGTATTTTTAAATATTATTTTGTCGGTAGTAGAGGATGAATGGTGCATGATGATTCCATTTTTAACGCAATTAAAAGGTTTAAAAAATAATCAATTTTTTTATTGACCAGGAGGAATAGTAAATATAGTTCTTTTTCTGAAAATATTTCTAATATCTCTCTTTTTTTTTGTTTTTAAACTATACGTTGTCACTCACATACCTTTCTTGCGTGCAGAATTGATTGTTCACTTTGAGACATTTTTCTTATAACAAAAGTGTTCACATTATAGTATTACACTTCTGGTAGAATTTTTGCATATTTACTTAAGTAAATAAGAGTAATTCCCTAGTATCTATGATGTTACTTTTGTAGAAAACCAGCCTTCTTTCAATATATGTATACGAAAATTTTTATAAGATGATTTTGTTTTCTTTTTCATATTTTTAAAGCATAATGTCACAAGTAATGCTTAGTGTTTTTGTTAATTATATATTCGCTTTTGGCCTATAAATAGAGTTAAGGCTATTAGTAAAAACGATATAGAGGTGAAAGAACAAATTTTTTGTAAAGATCAAAAGACATAATAGATATTCTATTTTGTGGAAAATGTTCAGAATGCGAAATTGTGATTTTTCTAACTAGAAAATCGAAACTTGA